GTAGTAGTAGTAGTAGTAGTAGTAGTAGTAGTAGTAGTAGTAGTAGTAGTAGTAGTAGTAGTACTAGCATAGACTGACATTGTTTCTTGTACTAGAGAAATTTTTCTTTCTTGGAATGAATTTTGTAATGCTGGTAGTAGTACTAGTACTAGTACTAGTGGTATGATTAGTGTTTGCACAGAATGTTGATAGTATGATATCAAAATTTTCATCAAAAAGTGACAAGCCCAGAAAGCTCTGCTGGTGGTGAACTTGTTCAGCAACTGCTGGAGGTAAAATAGTTTTTGCTGTGACAGGTTGGAATTCAAGGTGGTGYGAAACAACTCATTTGTAGACCCCTGTAGATTTTCTACCAGTTTGTTCTGCTGACCTGTCATGCCTTAACTTGCATCCAAAGTTGATACTGTTTTTTTTTAATTTCATATTTCATAATTTTAAAACTGAGCTCCTCCACATCAGTGTCCTCTGTATCATCAGCATAATTCATATCAGTGTACTCCTCCATATCAGCAAAATTTGTATCAGTGTCCTCCTCCTTATCAGTGACTTGTATCATTGGCTCCTCCATATCAGCATAATTTGTATCAGTGTACTTGCTCCATATCAGTAAATCACAATGCACTCTGTATCAGTTAATCACAATGCACTCCACATCAGTGTACTTCCTCCACWTCAGTGAATCACAATGCGCTCTGCATCAGTGTACTCCTCCACATCAGCAACTTGTATGAGTGAATCACCATGCACTCTGTATCAGTACCTCATAGATTGGTAGATTGTTGCTTTTTTTGGAAGAACCAATGCTAAACTTGTCTTTTACTAGTACAAAATTATCCAGTCATTCCTTATTTGACTACTGTCTTTATGATGACATGCCCCACCACTTCTGTGATGAGGAACATCACATCCATGACGAATATGCTTGCCTCCTGCCACTGTAGCTGGCTGGTCAGTAGACATACTAGCTTGGCACTACACCCTTCAGACACCAGATTGGTCTGTGATGAATCAATTGTGCCTCCAATTGGATTGACTTGAATGATAAACGGTTGGTTGTTGATTTGTCAGCCACTGCAAATCACTTGATTGAGTACTGCAGCTTGAGTAGTCTTGGACTTGAGTATCGTATCCACAAACCACAATAACTTGAATACAGAGATCTGCAAACTGCAAACAAGGAAATAACTTGAATACGGAGATCTGCACTGCACGCCGGTTCCTTGAGTATCAAAGCTCCACATGCTGGTCCCTCAAGTATCTGCAACAAACAAAAACGCAAATTGCTTGAGTATGAAGCATCTGTAAGCCAGCTCCTTGAGTATTGAAGCCTCTGCAAGCCGGTTCCTTGAGTATGAAGCCTCCGCACTCCGGCTCCTTGAGTATTGAAGCCTCCGGATGCCGGTTCCTTGAGTATCCGCAAACACAAACGCAAATTGCTTGAGTATGAAGCATCCGCAAGCCAGCTCCTTGAGTATCAAAGCCTTGGAACACCGGTTCCTTGAGTATCAAAACCTTGGCACACCTGTTCCTTGAGTATCAAAGCCTCCACACGCTGTTTTGCTTGAGTGTCAGTACGTTAATGGGTGTTTTGCTTGAGTATGAAGCATCTGTATACCAGCTCCTTGAGTATGAATGAACACTTGCAGATGAGGCATTTTGATGTGTTTGCTTGTATTTTGGTGGATGTGAGAGGTGCGGCATTGGATGGAGGAGGTATTTCAGCAGTATTGCTTTGCTGTAGAAAATGTGTATGTAGATTATGTAGTATTTGTACTACAGTACTGCAATATCATACAGGGGGTACGCACGCATGGCAGGCAAGCCAGCCAGCAGCCCTGAAGGTCCAGAATTGCCAAGTACTTGACTTTAGTACCCTTGACATTACTAGGAGCTCTCTTGGTTGGAACAAATTTACAATTTACCCAATGTTATCTACTGGAATTAAGTAGATTTTTTATTTTCTGAAGTACGCAAGGTAGACAAGTAACTGGTACGGTACTGTAGTCTAGTATGATTTTACCTTGAGTAAAATTACAGCTAGAATTAATGCAGGAATTTTGGCCCACCACTAGTACTGTAACTTTGGCAGACTAGTTCTAAGGCACCAGAGCATCCTTAAGCATCGCCCTGATGACATGGATCTTTAAGAAATTGTATCATCTTGGTCTGGGCGCTTAGTCTGGTGGTCTAAAGTTGCTTTTTGATAGAGTTCTAGCCTATTTTCTAACTAGCAGTTAGTCTTGT